GTGTGGCAGAGACGAAAGCAATCCTTGCGGCAGAGAACAGGTTGGCCAGGATAAGAGGGACAAAAAGCAGGTGTTGCATCTAATTCAGGAATACAGGAAACCAAGTACAGTTTCATCATCTGGTCATTTAAGTCCACCCCTCTCATGTTAAGGTTATAGTCATGGACACAGAGGGGCTTCTCAACACCAGTTGCTGTGCAAATGTGGTCTGTAGTCTTTGTGAATGGAAGACTGCACAAAGACATCACGTTTGTCTGTCGACTTCACTACAAGCAATTCATTATTTCTCAAGCAGGCTTTCTTCCTCTTTCCAAGTTGGGTATTTACAAACCATTGGGGAAGCCCTGACGACTGGGTCACACAGTGCCACATAAGCCAATTCCAAGATCAAAACTGTGTTTAAATAGTGGCATGCTTGTATAAAAATTGTCCACATAGAAGTGGTACCCCATAACGAAAAAGGTGACACTATAACAAGTCCCACTATCATGCCACTGCTCCCCATATAGATTGGGCATCAAGGGGGCTCCACATGACTATTTTCCCTTGTGAATCCAAAAATTACATGTATAGCCTGTTGCTTTATACGTTTTGACTCCAGATCTGCCTATCATATTCAGGGTCACCCCAAGGACAACTGTGCATTGCCATTGAAATTCCTAATTCACATATTCTCATATCTATGCCTGGCCGTGGCAGCAGAGAACATGGGTATATGATGAATTGAGTCTATGGACCAATATGACCGTGACTCATTCTTTTTAGTAATACCCATGTTGAGGGTTAGGCCACAAAAGTATTCTAAACTTGCAAACCGTAATAGGTTTCCATGGAAATTGTCTAGCAAGGTTGAATTTGGGTTGGTGGCAATAAATTGTGCATATAAATTGCTTTGGTCCGCAATCATTCCATACAGATCTGCCCTGAAAAACTGCTCCAAAAAATCAAGGGGGCTAGACAGGGGCACACTGACAACTCATGGGGCCCCTGGGCAGTAAGAGATAATGTGGCCCCCTGTGTCCCCACCTACACACCACACACAACACCCCTACCTACATATTGCAGCTCAGCTGCATAGAAGGGGCATTAAAATATTTACTGCAGAAAAGACTGCATAAATGTTCTCGGCTTCTTTCCGTAGAAGCCACTGGGCACTTTCAGGTTTAAATATGCCATGTGGGGGAAGTGAAAGAGAGAGGGGAGTGAGAGGGTGAAAAAGAGGAGAGGAGAGAGAGAGGGAGAGGGAGGAGAGAGGGGGGAGGGAGAGAGAGAGAGGGGGGGAAGAGTGAGAGAGAGAGGAAGGGATGAGAGAGGAGGGGAGTGTTTTTAAATTGCGCTAAATATTGGACATGGCTTAAAAGGGGAATGTTTAAATAGTGTCTGAGATGACTTATATAGTGCAGGATGAGATAATGTTAAAGAGGGAATGTACAGTGTGGAGTGTATGACAGTGGGTAGTATGTACAGGGAGAGGAGTGTGGAGTATATGGCGGTGGGGGTAGTATGTGTAGGATGGTGTCAGTAGGTGGTGTCAGTAGTTCTTCATTTTTATTACTATTTTATTTTTTTCCTAATTTTATGATTTTTTTTACAAATTAATGTTTTTTTTATTATTTTTATCATTTTTTTTCAAAATACTCTTTGGTGGCCAGTGGATGGTGTCAGTAGAGCAATGGCATGGGTGTCAGAATTTTTTAAGTTTTATTATCTAATTTTTTGTATTTTTTACAATTCATTTCTATATTATTATTTTTCACAATGATTTTGTGGGAGCAGCGGACAGTGTCAGTAGGGAGTGAACAGGGAGCACTAGTATATGTTGGGCTGTCATTAGATTGGGATGAATAAACAGAACCTGTACCCCCTTATATCGGAAGAATTGGAATGGATGGAGAGAAGGAAGAAAGAAAAGGGAGGGAGGGAATGGATGGAGGAAGGAAGGGGAGGGAAGGAAGTAGGGGTGGGAGGAAAGAATGAAGGGAATGGATGGAGGAAGGAAGGAATGAAGAAAAGAGAGAAAATGGATGAAGAAAGGGGAGGGAAGGAGGGGAGGAAGGAATAAAAGGGAGAGAGGGAGTGGATGAAAGAGGAAGGAAGGAAGGAGCGGTGGGAGGAAAGAATGAAGGGAGGGGATGGAGGAAGGAAGGGAAAGAAGAAAAGGGAGGGAGGGAATGAATAGATGGAGGAAGAAAGGAAAGAAATGGATGGAGGAAGGTATGAAGATAAAGGAAGGAAGGAAGGAAGTTAGGGAGGGAGGGAATGGATGGAGGAAGAAAGGGGAGGGAAAGAAGGAATGGGAGGGGAGTAAGGAAGGGATTAGATGGAGGGAGGAAGAAAGAGGAAGGAAGGAAAAAGGAGGGAAGTACGGAAGGAAAAAGAAGGGGGGGAAGGAAGGAGGGGTGGGAGGAAAGAATGAAGGGAGGGGACGGAGGAAGGAAGAGAAAGAAGAAAAAGAGGGAGGGAGGGAGGGAGGGAGGGAATGAATGAAGGAAAGCATGAAGGAAGGAAAAAAATGGATGGACAAAGTAATGAAGGTAAAGGAGGGAAGGAAAGAAGGACGGAAGAAAAGGGAAGGAATAGATGGAGGGAGGAAGGAAAGAAGGAATGTTAGGGCAGGAGAGAGGAAGGAAGGGGAGGGAAAGAGAGGAAAGAAGGGGAGGGAAGGAGGAAGAAAGGAAGGAAATGAAAGGAGGGAGGAAAGGATGAAGGGAGGGGATGGAGGAAGAAAGAAAAGGGAGGGAATGGATGGAGGAAGGAAGGAAGGAAATGGATGGAGGAAGGAATGAAGGAAGGGGAGGGAAGGACGGAGGAATAGGGAATGGTTAGAGAAAGGAAGGGAAGGAAAGGAGGGAAGGATAAAGGTAGGGGATGGAGGAAGGAAGAAAAAGGAGGGAGGGAATAGATAAGGGAGGGAAGGAAGAAGGGGAGGGAGGAAGGAAATGAAAGAAGGGGAGGGAGGAAGGAAATGAAAGGAGGGGAGGGAGAAAAGAATGAAGGAAGGGAGAAAGGAAGGAAGGACTGAAGGAAGGTGAGGGAGGGGGGAAGGAAGGAAGGAATTATTGAAGGATCAGGAGGGAGGGAAGGTAAAAATTAAGGGAGGGGATAGAGGAAGGAATGAAAGTAAGGAAGAAAAGGGAGGGAGGGAAGGGAGGGAGGAAGGAAGAAAATGGATGGGGGAAGGAATGTAGGAAGGGGAGGAAGGAAGGAGGTGAGAAAGGAAGGAAATTAAAGGAGGGGAGGGAGGAAAGAATGAAGGGAGGGGATGGAGGAAGGAAGGAAGGAATGAAGGGAGGGAGAAAGGATGGAAGGATTGAAGTAAGGGGATGGAAGGGGGAAAAAAGGAAGGAAGAAAAGGGAAGGGAGGGAGGGGGGAGGAAGAGTGAAAGAATGAAGGGAGTGGATGGAGGAAGGAAAGAAAAGGGAGGGAGGGAATGGATGGAGGAAGGAATGAAGGAAGAGGAGGAAAGGGAGGAAGTCGGAAAAGGGAGGAAATGGATGACGGAAGGAAGGAAAGAAGAGAGGGAACGAAGGAAGTAAGAAAATGGAGGGAGGGAATGGATGGAGGAAGGAAGGAATGAAGGAGGGGCGGGAAGGAGGAAGGAAGGAATGAAGGAAGGAAGGAAATGAAAGGAGAGGAGAGGAGGGAGGAAAGAATGAAGGGAGGGGATGGAGGAAGGAAGAAAAGGGAGGGAATGGATGGAGGAAGGAAGGAATGGGTGGAGGAAGGGTTGAAGGAAGGAAGAAAGGGAGGAGAGAGAGAGGGGGAGAGATAGGGGGGGGGAGAGAGGGGGGGGGGGGGAGGGAGAGAGAGAGGGGGAGGGAGAGAGAGGGGGGAGAGATAGAGAGATGGAGAGAGAGGGGGGGAGAGAGGGGGAGAAAGAAGGGGGGTGAGGGAGAGGGGGAGAGAGAGAGGGAGAGAGAAAGAGAGAGGGAGAAAGAAGGGGGGGAGAGAGAGGGAGCGGGACGGAGAGAGAGCTGACCTGGTACATTCAGAAGCATCACAGAGCTTCTGCCTTATCTTGACAGGGGAGGCAGAGCAGATCCTCTCTCCTCTGCTGTGGAGGATAGGGGGAGGGGTTGGACACTGTCAGAGGATGGGGGGGCTGAGGCGCACAGAGGGGGGGGCCCAGGAGGGAAATCTGATGCACAGACAGGGATGATCAGTGCAGGGGAGGGACAATGACAGCACTGATCTCCCTGCATGGATTTCAACAAGCAGCTGGAAGCTTCCCCCTCCCAGGGCTTTCAGTTGCTTCATTGAAATCCATGCAGGGAGATCGGTGCTGTCACTGTCCCCCCTCTGCACCGATCACCGATCACCTCCGACTTTATTCCTGATAAATATCATCCATGGGGGCGGGGTGTGTGCAAGGTGTATGCAGTGAACACCCCACACCCATGGATGATATGCCTCTCACCTTCCCACTGCCCACCGGCTCCATCACCAGCACAGTGCCCAGACCAGTCACCCGACTCACTCTGCCCCCACGTGAAGTAACAGGTGATCTACTTCTGGGTCAGGATCTGAGACTGCCTCCTCCTCCGCTCCCCACAATGTTGCTGTACCAAATCACAGTACAGGCAAGCACACGTGCACCTCTGGCTCGGAAATGTGTGTGTGTGTCGGTCCGCCTGCATGGAGTCCACACTGTAGCAGTAAAACCGCTATAGGGTATACAGCGACTTATTAAAGCTTACTGCTTGTTATGGATATGCAAAATCATATAACATATATCCATATCCAGGTTCATTTTGGGCATTTTTTGATATAGATGTGATATTACTAGGACCCCATTTTTGTCTAAAGGTTTTTGAAGCAAACTGTTGGTTTTAAGTCTCCAAAAATATTAGCTGATATAATTTGTGTATAATTTGTTGTTATAAATTATCTTTAAAGGTGGCAGAAATAGCTCTGAGACTCATGGGAGTACCACTGGTGAATTACTGAAGTACTATATCTGAGCAAAATTTCTGTTTGTCTTGCTAGGTTTTCCATAAACATGGGAATAGATCAGAAGAATTTAGTGCTACACTTTAATCCTCGATTTGATGCCCGTGGAGACAAGCAAAAGATCATTTTGAACTCTAAGCGGGACAGCGTCTGGGGAGCAGAGAAGAGGGAAAGCGTCTTCCCCTTTAAGGAGGGGTCAGACACCAAGGTACGTCTAAGCTGGGAGGGGCAGGACCAATGTTGGATGGGGGTAAAGTGGCAACACTGCTCATATTGGACACATCCTATCAATCTCCAAAAGATGCAGGAAGTGGTTAGCGATGGCTTAATGTGTCTGTGTGTCTTCGCTATAATGGTTGCTCATTCCATGAAAGATTAGATCCTTCCATTTAGAAAGATCCAATGGATTGCATCATACTGCCATTGTGTGCTATGATATACTGCCCAAAGAATGGTTACTGTTGGTCATATCACTGGTTGTCAGAACTGTCATTTTCTAGGGTGGAATATAGGGAAAGGAGCAATGTGAGTGCTGGGAAAGGGATACAAGGAAGAGTCTGATGTAAGTACTAGGGGGAGGAATACGGGAAATGGATATTACTGCTGATGAATGCTCTGTTCATCTAAATTAATCTCTGGGGGCAGGTCTTGGTGATAAAGCTAAAAAACGTTTATTGCCTACATGCTTTTCTTACATTAATGTAACAAAAATCACTTCTCTACCCCCTCTGTGTGAAAGGGAACTGAGGGGAGAATAGATCCAGCACTGTCCACAGCTGCATCCCTTCTCCCCTCTTTCTTTTTACACAGCATTCAAGCAGCAGCAGGACCCATTGGCTCTTGCTGCTATCAATCAAATGCAGTGAGGAGGAACTGAGGGGGGGCGCACTAAGTTCCGCTGTGGAAGTCTATGGAATGTGGCTCCATAGACTCAGCTAGGGAGCAAGCAGACACTGTGTGCCTCCATAGCAAACAGCTTGCTTTGGGGACACAAAGGAACCAGGAGTGTCGCCAAGGAACCAAAGAGGGTTGGGGGTGCTCTGCATTATCACTGTACAGAGCAGGTCAGTATGACCTGGTGATTAAAAAAAAAATGTTTGACTTTAGTAACAGATATGGGGTAGAACAAGAAATAACTGACCCAGAATAAATTGTATTCTCATTTTACCCCAAGTCAATTATGGTAGATGGGACCCTTGTCAAGAACACACTTGAGTTGGAGCCCTGGCTGGGACAATGGCAAATGGGAGCCCTTGTCAGGAGAGATGTGTATTGGGGACCCTGGGGTTGCTTCAGTATAGAAAGGTGCAAGAATTGGATATTTCGCAGATACGGTTTGTTCATGGTGATCTGAAGGTAATGGACAAAGACAGTATTATTGAAAATAACAACTGAGAGGCATAACATTCCCATTGTTATACACACATGAAATGTTAAGCCCTGCTTCCTAGGATTCTGTCAAATGCCAGAGGCTCAATGCACACTCCAGTCACGGCACTCCTGCACAGTTCTCACCTTTTTAGGCATGTAGTGTAGGCGCTGTGTAGCTGTCATGGCATACAACAGTCTTTCTCCTCCTTTTTGCCCTAGAGGAACCCTTTTAAATTTTCATGTCTTTGGGAACACCTTCTAAAATCAATTCATTGGTGACCAGTAGTAAGAATGCCAATGGTGGTCCAAATGCCACTCTTGCATGCAGCGACATATCATTGGTGTCATAAAGCTGGCCCTGCCAAGTGGTGTTAGGACCCAAAAACAGCAGGGACCCTCAAATGGGAGGTTAATCAACCACAGCTCAAGGAACCCTAGGGTAGACATGTGTATAATGAAGAAATGGTTTTGATTTGTTAAATTCCTCTTAAAAATGTGTTTGTTTAATTTCAACTGAATTTGGAAAAGTTGAATCAAATTTTATTCTTTTTGAAATCTGAATTTCACAACATAGTTATATTCTGTTTTTTTCTATTAGAATATAATCATCTCCAAATTGTGAAGAAAATAAATTAGACTTACATTTTCTATTCTGTTCTAATTTTTTTTTTTTAACTTTCTCTTCTATATTTTGTTTTACTCTATTCTATTTTTTTAATTGAATTGAATTTTTTAATGTTGGCTAAGTTTTGTTATTTTTGATTCATTACTATTGTGATTTGGAAATTCGTATCCAAATTTCCAAATAACGAAAAATTAGTTTGAATTTCGTTTCAGAATGAAATGAACTGTACATGTCTAGCCTAGGGTTCCGTGGAGCCCTGGATGAGGCTGGTTGGCACACCAGGACTCGACTGGGCAACAGCTACTGATCTCCTGAGAGCTCTTGCCATTGTTCTGTGTAACAGATACTGTCTAGAGACCCTGTCACTAAAACATTGCAGCACAAAGCACATCCTTCCAATTTTTTACTTTCGATTAACAATTTTCTACAACACATAAAGAATACATAAGATAAGCTACATGCGCATATCATCTTATATAATTATTTTTGCTGAAATGTATGGTTTGCTAGTAAAGTTTTTCTCTATGGCCAACACTCTGACTTTTTATAGTCCAGCAAGCTGACACTGTGCTGCCTCTTTTCTTACAGGTTTGCTTCAAGTTTGAGCAAGACAAGATCACCATACAACTATCTGACGGAAAGTCTTTCTCATTTCCAGTCCGCTTCCCCATATTGCAGATCTCATACTTGTCTGCGAAAGGCCTCCGGGTCACGGCCCATACCATTAAATGAAGAGTCCTGTATTCAAACAGCTGTCTATATCAAATGTCCATATCCAGGCTCTGTGAAATGGCCATAGTGCATGAAGAAAAATGTTTACCCTATTTTGTAACCCCTTCCCACCAATCTGTACCCTTGCTGCTTTTGTAGCCATACACTGTACTTTGCTCAGTTCACTTATTCAAAATAAATTTCATCCATACTTCAAATAAAATCCAATGAGCTCTATTGTGCCTGATCAAACCAATAATTTTTTTTGGCGCTAAGCTGACTTTGGATTGATTGCTGTGGTCGATGGCAGATTACTGCCTGCTGGATGGAGGCTTCCTTGCTGGAGGTTTGCTGCATTACTTTTAAAGGCATGCAGTAACCAACAGAGGGTGCTAATGCTACATTTTCTGCCTGCATTGTCTGCTTTTTTTTTTTGTATTTCAAGTAAAACAATATAAATCTTTCTGATTTTATCAATAGATTAGGGGTAGAATTGAAAACCTAGTAAGATTAGTGGTAAAGAGCACGCTTGAGAGGTTGTCTCACTCTCCTATTCCTCCTTCACTAGGTCAATCCATTCCCAGGGTCATCCATTCATTCACCAGTTCAAAGGGTGGAAACCCTGTGTGAGGCGTGAAGCACCTCGTGTATGGCAAACAGGAATGCTGGCAATATGGCACTTCCAATCTTTGTCATTTTGTTTTATAGCATCCGCTTAGGCATGACTTTTTTAGGGTTTTGTTGATGTGTTCAACCAAGCCATCTATCTGAGGATGATAGAATGATGTGCTCAACTACCTAATCTGAAATCTAATCTTTGGAAAAAACAGTTCTAGTAAATTTGTGAAATAGAGGTATAATTCAGGGCATTGTGTGGCATAATTGAGGATCACCAATATGTGTTGGTAACATCAGTTGGATTTTTACCAATGGCATACCAAATTCATTGTTCTAGGTTCAAACTGAATATAAAGTGGTATGGAAGCAAAGAAGCTGTGAAAATGTGATCCTAGGGCAGTTATCTGGCAGGTGGGACACCATAATCCCCCCTTCACCAAACTTTACATTTGGCACAATACAGTCAGGCAAGTACAGTTTTCCTGGCAAGCGCCAAGCCCAGATATGTCCATCAGATTGCCAAACAGAGAAGTGTGATTTGCCAGTCCAGAGAACACATCTCAACTGCTCTAGAGTCCAGTAGTGGCGTGCTTTACACCACTGAGTCTGATGTTTTGCACTTGGGGATGTAAGGCTTGGATGCAGCTCGGCCATGGAATCCCATTCCATGAAGCTCGCTATGCACTGTTGTACTAATCTGAAGGCCACATGAAGTTTGGAGGTCTTTAGCTATTGTCAGGGATCCCAGGCTGTACCGCGGCGCGCGAGTCTGCGCATGCGCGGTACGCCAAGGCGCACTAGCGTGCGGGCACTAGCACCTGGGCGCCCGCGACGGCAACAGCAGTCGCGCATATGCACTCGCGATCACGGACACGCACCCGGCACCAATGAGCGTGCAGGGCGCCCTATTTAAACAGACACTAAATATGTTCAAGTTGCCGTATGGTCTTTTCCTGTATCCTGTGTCCTGAGAGATTGCTTTTCTGCTGACCCTGTCTGACCCTGATTCGTTGACTGTCTCCTGGTCTGATCCCTGGCTTGCCTGACCATTCTCCTGTCTAATCCTGTATGTTTGATCTCCTGTTGCCGAACCTGGACCGTGACCCGTTTATTCTTCTGCCTGCCGCTTGTACCGACCTGCCTCCGCTGTTACCGACCTGGCCTGTCTGACTTTGCTCACTCCACCTCCTCACATCAGACTCTCACCTGCTACGTACCACCGACAAGTGCTTCTACCACAGCTGGTTGCACCCAGGGGCCGCAATCTGGTTTCGGCTTGCTCCAAGTCCATCCCCACCATCAGGGGCCCTGGTGAACAAGCAGGTCGGGACTTAGATTCCGCGCCCTGGGGAATTCTGGTCTGTGGAGCGTTAGAGGCTACCGCCAGTCGGTCCATAACAGCTATTGACTCTGCAGACAGTTGGCGACATCTGTGTACTGTGCACTTCAGCATGCATGCACTGACCCTGCTTTGCCATTTTTTTTTGGCCGAGTTGCTTCCATTTTGTTATAATACCACTAATAGTTGACCGTGGAATATTTAATTCAAATATTTATTAAATTTTCATATTTATAATTACATATAAAAAGAAAAAAGAGGAAAAAGAAATAAGAACATAACAATACATTTCATCTACAGTCTCATATAACATATAAAATTCTTAATCTTATCTCCTTCTGTTACCTCCTTTTTCTTCTTTTTCCCTTACCTCTACCCCTACACCCTACCACATCCCTCCACCCTCCCACTCTGCATTTTTCTCTTACTTCCTTCCCTATAAAATCAAGAAACTTCTCTTATCATTGCTTCATGTATATTCATTTGGTGTACAAAATCTTCCCATTTCTCCCATCTCCTATTATATATCTCCATCTTATCCTCCTGGATATAGTACAGTTTCTCCATTTTACTAATCTGATTTACTCTCTCTACCCAGTCCTTTTCTCTCGGAACCTCTAAACTATGCCAGAATTTAGGTATCAAACCCTTTGCTGCATTCACAAAGTACCATATACCCGAGTTTTTATATTTATTCACTGGTAAATCTGTTTTA